CGCTGACCTGCGGGGTTTTGTGTGTGTTCCCTCATGGCAGGGCTCGCCTCCCCCTCCCCGCAGTGAGTGTCCCGGCGCGGGGGCAGCGCCGGACGGGCGACCGCGGCCATGCCGGGCGGTAAGGAGACACGGCTGCTGCACCTCAGCGAGATGGAGAAGCTCGACAAGACCCTTTTCAGGCTGGAGCAGGGTAGGTCGGGGCGGCGGGGCAGGGTGAGAGGGAAATGGCCAGGACGTCGGCACCGTCTTTGGACGGCAGTGGAAACGGAGTTCAGCCTGTTTTGGTGGGGGTTTTGGAGTGTGAGGGTTTTGTTGTTGTTGGTTGGGGTTTGGCTGTGGTTTTGTTGGTTTGGTTTGGTTTTACTTTTTCTGTTGTTTTAATGTGAAACAATTTCTGACGCTCTTGCTTCCACTGCAGAGCTCTATGGGCTCCAGACACGGCTCGGTCTGACTCATAAAACTCTTGAGAAATGAAGAGCAGATTGGCCTGGAGCCGTCAATCTTAATGGGAGTGAAGTACAAAGCGTTTTTTGGACGGGCTCTGTCCCTCTCCTTTTATAGCCTGTACTTCAGGGACCCGAAGAAGTCTCTTAAGTCAAGATCTCCAGTGTTTATCTGCAATGTCTTATGCAGCATCCCATGTTTTAATATTATAATTCTGAAATCTGTCAGTAATACTAACATTTTGCAAAGTCTGAAAGTTTGAGGTATTATTTCAGAATATAAGCTCTTTAGCTCCTCCTAAATCTCATTGTCAGATTTCTTAACACTGCTGAATACTTTTAAGTACTTGACATTAGTTCTCCTTGAAGTGTTCCTAAGTCTACTTGGAAAACAAAAACAAAACACCAAAACAAATAAACAACCCCCCCCAACTGATTGACTGTTATGCCAGTCAGCAAATTCAGACTATAAAACTAAAATCACTGTCTTTAAAAAAATATTTTTAATGATGAAACAATTTTTATTATGAATTCTTGTGGGGTTTAGTACTGTGTGTTACTGATCTAGTAACCTAATATCAAAGTGGTTTAGTAAAGGAGCAAGATTTTGGTTCTTGAGAATAAAAATTCTCTTTTTAACTCTTCCATCCAGTTGTGTAGATTTTCTTGAGTGACACAGAAGTGCAGGACTGTCAGACATTCAGAGTGCCTTTGCCGGTAGAAGTCTCCAAGAGGGCATAGCTAATTTTGAGCACAGCATTCCTGATGTCAGTATTACTGTTACAGGAAATAAGATATCAATGGCATATATCCCTGTCCTCTAATTTTAGTAATCCCTGTAACAAAATGTCAGGTCAGTACTGAAGAGAGTATACTTAACATTCCAAAAGTGATTTTTTTAATTTATTTTTTTTGCATTCAAATAAGCGTTATTTTACCTGCAAGACATTCAGATCTAAAAACTATTGCTCTGCATGGTGGGTTTTGGTGCAGTGGTGATTGTTAGTAAGAGGAATGCCAAATGTGGTCGGACATATTTAAATGTGTTCAGACAGTGAATTCTGGTATTAGAGTCACCATGATTCTGCTTAATAAGCAATTGGGGTTTTTTTTTACTTATGATACTGGAACTTGACATCCAGATATTTTATGCTTTGATTCATTCTCTGTGTATTAATAACTTTCTCTTTTTTTAAAAATACTCAGGTTTCTTTTACTATTTTGTAGACTGCTAGAGCTAGTAGGTGTTTTACTACTGTTAACCTGTGACTGACTTGTAATTTAGAAAAATCACTGTGCAAGAATTTATATCCATTTCATTCACTTGAAAGAACCCTGTAATTAGCCATGCTAATGGTGGTGCTAATTACATGGTGGCCCTCATACCCTCAAGTGGAAGCATATTCTGAAACCTCTTGACTAAATTGAGTTTTTTTTATATCCAGCTCAACAGACCACATGTGGTTTTAGGTCCTAATTTTTAACTCAATTTTTTCTCATTATCAAGGGGATCTTCAGCCTAAACTTAAGGCTCTTTCTGTGTGTGTAGCCTGCAGCATGTATACAAAACTCCCTCTGGTTTGTTGAGCTCTCTGAAAGTTTAAAAATTTGTATATTGTAGATTACACACAAGTACATATAATTTTACATTATAAATCATTTTATGTATAAAAGCATAAGGAGTTTAGCACTGTTTAGTGAGCCCTCAGTGAATAATGAAGGGATTTGAAATATTTTTTGCTTTGAAATGTGTTCCTAATTTTTTTCCAGGCATTTTCATGAGTCAACCTGTGATTTGGTAAACCTACGTACTTAAAGACCATATAAAGACTGCATAAAATTTCATGCAGTCTGATGATCACTGTGTTTTCCTGTATTTCTTTTTTAAGACTTTTATACAGCAAAGAGAAACAAATAGGAAAGGAGATGAATAATGTCATATAAGTAAAGGAAAAAGGACTATATGTAAAGTATGCAAAGAGCAATGTTAGGAAGGTAGGGAGAGATGATGCAGTTTTGGGTGCCACAATATAAGAAAGATCTAAAGCTATTATAGAACATCCAAAGAAGAGTGATGGTGAAGGGCCTGGAGGAGAAGCCGTGTGAGGAGCAGCTGAGGTCACTTGGTCTGTTCAGCCTGGAGAAACGGAGACTGAGGGGAGACCTCACTGCAGTCTTCAGCTTCTTCATGAGAATAGGAGGGGCAGGCACTGATCTCTTCTCTGTGGTGACCAATGACAAGACCTGAGGGAATGGCCTGAAGTTGCCTCAGGGAAAGTTTAGGTCGGATATTAAGAAAAGGTTCTTTGGTTGGTCACTGGAACGGGGAAGTGGTCACAGCACCAAACCTGAGTTTAGGAGGTGTTTGGACAATTCTCTCAGGCATGTTGTGCTTCCTGGGGCTGTCCTGTGCCAGGAATTGGACTTCAGTGATTCTTGTGAGTCCCTTCCAACTCAGGATATTCTGTGAGATTTTGCTGTAGAAATATATCATTCTGCTGAAATTCTTGTCAGATATGTTGGTGCTTTCTTATTAACATGATATCAAAGTAGGAGTTATAATAACAGACTAGAAATACCTACTCATCCTGATAGTGATTTTCTTTTTTTTTTTCTTGAGGTTTTGAACTGCAGTTCCGACTGGGCCCAACTCTTCAAGGCAAGCCCGTTACTGTGTACACAAATTATCCAGCTTCTGGAGAAGTGTTTGATCGCCACAAGTTCAGGACATTATCATGGCACAATCCTGCAGGAAAGGAAGATGACTCTGACAAATACTGCAAGCTGGATCTCCAAATTTCTGGGTCATATCAGTACTATTTTAGTCTTGGGTGAGTGAAATTTTTATCTTTACAGCCAAATGCAGTCTGCTTCTACACTTTAACTTGAAAAACTACAGTTTTTCCATGTGTTTTTCAAATTGCAACCATTGGGCCAATCCAAATCTACTAATGAAAGACTGACTGGTGGTTTTTTGAAGCCTTCTGATACAGAAATGTTCTGAAGAATATACAGAACCAAGTTAATTTTCTGTGAATGCTGGAGAAGCAATCTGTTTTTACAAGTTTTCAAATTCATCAGCATTATGAGCATATGAATGATTAATTTGTACTTTCTTCATTGACTCTGAGGTTTGTTTTCTACCTTTCTAGCACAGAAGTTCTGGCATTCTTTACTTGCATCCTTTATGTCCTCCTTTGTTTCAGTGGGACAACTGAAGAAGAGAATGCCAGTAGCTGTAATAATTGTAGTCTGGTATTTGGAGTTTCTGGAAGATGGGTGGTTAAATTCTTCCAGGCTTAGAAGGACATTTACCTGAGGATGGTGCTCGAAATGGAGATCTTTGTATAATAGATGGGCAGTCAGGTTTTCTGTGTTTCTGTCCATATGCCAAAGGGAGGAACCTGTACTGTCTTAGCAAATAACAAAGGTATCTCACTTTTGCAGAGAGTTTAAAGCTCTGTATTCCAATTGCATTCTTTTAATTCCAGTAGAGAGATGACGCCTAAGAGATGAACATTTCAATGTCTCCTGTTTTCTTCAGGTGCCCTGCAGTCCTGTTGCTCCTCTCCCCCAACCCCTGTACTGGGCTACTGTGTTTTTTAAATAGCTGTACTGCTTGGATTCTCTTTGTGAAACTGGACATGGCTATTAACTGTACCAATGAAAATTAATTTTTCCTAGAAATGAAAAAAGCGGTGGAGGTTACATAGTTGTGGATCCTATTTTGCATGTTGGAGCTGATAATCATGTACTACCTTTGGATTGTGTTACGCTCCAGACATTCCTTGCTAAGTGTCTGGGACCATTTCATGAATGGGAAGATAGACTTAAAGTTGCAAAAGAAACAGGTAATGCCAATACACCTATTGAAGGATATAAGTTTTTGTCTTATGATCAAAAACCAAAGTTACACTGAAGAGCTTCAGTGTGAGCAACTCATTTATTCTTTTTTAGATTAAATATTCTCTACTACATTCAATTAACTGTTTAAGTCACTGAAATGATTAAAATATTGCCAGAGGTGCAAAAATTCAGGGATTTCCTAATATGGGAAACCACTTCTGTTTTATTGTTTTGATTTCAGATAAACTTGGAAGTTTGTAGAATTGTCAGGGTGATTTTTAAAGCTCGTGTTATGCAGAATTTCAAGGGGAAGATTCAGATTAATTTATACTGGTTATCCCAAAAACCAGCTCTAAGTCTGTGCTATAACTACAGCTTATTAAGCTTCTTCCGATTAACTTTGGGTTTTTTTCCACAGTGAATAAGTGTTTTTTTGTTACACAGGTTACAACATGATTCATTTTACGCCACTGCAGAAGCTTGGACTGTCTAGATCATGTTATTCACTGGCTGACCAGTTAGAAGTAAATCCTGAATTTTCAACCCATAATAAAAAGTGCACTTGGAGTGATATAGGAGCTCTTGTGGAGAAACTGAAAAATGAATGGAATATGCTTTGCATCACAGATGTAGTCTACAATCACACTGGTACGATTTTTGTGTGTTAATAACCAGATTATTTCTATAATTATATTTCATTATTTCCCTTAACTTGTCCCTCTTGAATGTATTTTTTAGTAGCTGTTTTAAGCAGTGTAGTTCTCTGCCTTTGAATCTCTCAAGTCCAGAACAACTCCTTACAATTATAATTGATATGTCTCTGTAACAGGTGTAAAAGAATATAGTATTGTTAGTGAAAGAGTGAATAGAGCCCTTTTTAGAGAGGATTAATGAGCTGTGTATGTGTCTATATAATATGCTTATTTTCATGAACTGTGGTGTGCAGTTCCCACATATTTGATCAGAGTCTGCATTATGAATTATTTGGTGAACATAAACTGAGTACTTGTTAAACTGGGTATTATTCTTGTAGTTGCTTAAAAACTCTGATTTGGGTCTAATATGCAGATGGTAAACAGAGTTGGGACAAGAGGCTGGGATTAAGCAGTAGAGGAAATGTTACAGCTCAGTCTGTGGGGAAAGAAAAAAGAGAGCTTTGAGTTGGGGGCAGGTTGTTTTTTAAGCATAGATATGCTAATACATCAAAGGTGTTACTTATTTGCTTGAGGGACAGTGGGTTTTGTTCTGTGTTGTTATGCTGTAATCCTAAACATCATAATAATTAGAATTCTTATAGCAGAGTACAACAAGTAGTTATGTATACTGATGTCTTTTGGGGCTTAAAATACCCTAAATACAGATATATGTGAATTTCAAGCTTTAATTGCTTTGGTTCTTTGGTGTTGACTGCTGCCAAACATTCCGATCCAATCAGTCTGCAATGCAATGTGGGCTCTGTTTGCTTTATCTGTTTGTTGAAAAGTTACTAAATATAGTTGTTGGCTATGTGTCTGAGGGAATTAGGCTTTTAAACATTCTCCCAATTCTGGATAAAAAATTTCTTGCACTTGACCAACTAGAAGTCCAATTTCTATTACATATGCTTGAGATCCTGTTTGTACAGTGTATATTTGCATGGTACCAAGGAGACAGTTTGGGGTTTTTTATGCATAGAAATACCTAGCTCTAAAATTTAGACACCAGAATATATTTAAGAACAATGTCACATTATTTGGCTACATTTGTAGAAGGACTTTCTCAGGTTACATTCAGAGTTAGTCATCTCCATTGGGATGGATGACTCAACATTTGTACTATGGTGAAAGGATGTTGAGAAGTGTTTTCTAACAGGACAGAAATACTCAGATGATTGTGGTTCTGACTTACATCTTAAGCAAGGTATACTTGCTGGCTTTGCTGCCTGCTTTTAAACTTGAATTTCCTCCCCCCTCCTTTTTGTTGTTTATAATCCAAACCTCTTGATATACAACTGTCTCCAAACTTTATTAAATGATAAATGTAGCGTTAGCCAAGAGATATGTTGATGTTATATGCTTGTGGAGCTTTTTGGATTTCCTTTTGAAGTGAGAAAATAGGGAAATAGTTTTTGGGATTCTTTTTGTCTGAATCTTGATTAGATGGAAATTTAACTTTTTTTTTCCTCTTAATTGAATAGTGATTTCCAGTAGTTCAATTAATTAATTCCTGCACATTAGGGTGGTTTAATTGTAAAGCATGTTTTATAGACTCATTTGAATATGAAAGGCACAAAATGTATAGTCCATTATTTGAGCCGATTATGGATACTTGCATATCTTTATTAATTCTGCAGCATGTCTGCCTGAGAAGCTTAAGTTGTCTCACTGTAAATCCTCTAATGTTGTTAATTCAAACAGCTCATGACCCCTCAGCTTACACTGGTTCTGTCTGTTGGTAGTTTCTTCTTTCTAGTTGAGAATTGTATTCCCCTCTGTTCCTGTGAGAGTCAGACAGCTCCCTTTCAGGAGCAAGCATTAAGGTGTTTGGTGTTCACACAGGAATGGAGACCAGGCTGCTTGCACAGTAGAGAGCAGTGGGAATCAGTTTTTGTTGTTGGCATCTCTGTTAGGCTCTAATGAAAGCCAGCATCCATGGCCTGACTTCAAAAGTGAAGTCGTGCACTGACGTGTTAAATGTCGGTGCACCTTTGGCCTCTTCACAGGAGTATCACAGATAAACTGCCAGACTCTCTCTGGGACCTGTGTAGATGCAAGTAAGAAGTACATGTCAGCTGGCATTTACTTTTCACTGGGAGACAGAAACAAGAGATTTGGTTTTTTTCCTTTTCTGAGCTTTCAGTGGCTGTAATAAATTGTATAAAGGAATAAAAATAAACTGAGATAAATTTTATATTATTTATCTTTCACAAGAGGCTACTATTGTGTAATGGCAATATAGTACTGGAGTTAATGCTACTTTCAAGCACTTAACTGATTGCATCAAACAGCACCTTTTTCTCAGCTTTAAAAAGAATTAAAAAAAGAGGTCTTGGGCAATGAGCATCACTACTAAATATTAAATTGGTATTTAATTTATATAATAATGAGTTAGTAATTTAAAGAAATAATTTCAAATTTTTCAAAGAAGAATTTAATGAATTTTAGAAAATTTTCTGTAATTTCTTGTCTTGGAATTTCCGTATTCTTACACTTTTACTATGTACTACACACACACACACACACACATACATACATACACACATACATATATATATATATATAGATACACACACACACTCTCTATACTATACTTATTTTTTCCCTAGCTGTAGCAAATGTAATCACCAGTGATGTTTTGGGCATTTTTTTTCCTGCAGGGTTAGATTTCTTTTGGTGTTATGTTGTGAATCACTGAAGCTTGCCTTCTGATCAGGAAACATTGTTCTGTTCCATTCCAGAATTATTGGAAGGCCTGCTGAATTTATTTTTTTTATGTTAATCCCTTAGATTCAAATTATACATTGTCTTTTTAGAATTAATTGTATTTACTCATGAAAGTCATTTATAGTAAATCATAGTTCTCTATAGGTGAATAGTACAAGTGGTTTTGCTTTTTGGAGAAAAAAATTTTTTTCAGCCTAGCTGAAAAATTTTTTTAGGCCTTTATCAGCCTAAGCTTATTGTTGCTTTATGTAACTTTAAAACATGGTGGGTTTAGTTGTAGGTGGTATTTAAACCATGAAGATCTTAATTTCTACAAATGGTTTGACCTTATAAACATGGAATTTTGCCATGTGCATAACTGTCTTGAGATATAATGTTAAAGGGTGTTCAGAAGAGCTGTTCACACTATGGACTGAGCTAGGATATCTTTTCTTTCCCTTTGACATTTTTGTTTTAACTTCTTTGAACTAAGCAAATTTGGATTTTAGGTGTTATTTGTTCTGCTATAATTCTGGGCATGTTAGTGACTCTTCATGTTTCCAATACAATAATTTATTATATATTTTCCCATGCATTAAGTACTACTTCTGTTTTTCTCTGCTTTTCTGAAAACCTGGGTTTTGTTCTTAGGCATTCTCTGGGTTTCTCTTCTTTTTATTTAGTTTTTCAACTGCAAGTATTTATTCAGAAGAATATAACCAAAAGCATTCTATGATTCTATGAAATTTATTTTCAGTTAGACAGTGTTTAGCACAGCTTCAAAAATGAAAAGAAATGAACTCTTGGATTTTTTTCTTCTTTCCAAAATCAAATTGTTCTACTATATGTATTTAATCATATTGCTACATGTACACTGTCTGTATTAGAATACTACACTCATTTTTTGGTGAAGACTCCTTACCTTCTCTGAGAGAATTCCTAACGTTCAGCATATTTTCTGGTGCTTGTTGATGCTACAGGGGAAACTTGGAAAATAGACACAGAGTGTAGTGTTTGATCTCAATTAGTGTTCCATTTGCATGCACCAGACAGTGCACTCATCCTCCTGTGTAAGACTCAGTGGCATCGCTTCCCACCACTCTGCTTCTTAAAAGTATCACAGCTAATCCTTTCTTAAAAGCACATTTAACCATATTTTTCATTAAATTAAAATTTCATTATTTTTTGGGTGGTGTGTGTGCGCTCTTGCTCTCTGGTTGTGTGTGATGAATATTAAAAATTAAACAGCTTATGTCATCATAAGTCTTGGTTTGGGATGTCTGTTTGGCTTTTGACACACAAAGAACATCATCTCATATTGGTTATTTGATGTATTTCCTGCAAGAAAAATGTGATTTGTTTTCTTTTTTTTTCAGTGTTTTATAATTGCATATTTTTATGTAACTAACAAAAAGTTTCCCTGCAGTTTCTGCAGCTGTGTTTGTTGCAATAAAAATGGCAATCAGGAGGAAACACTTCTGCATAAAACATGGCTTTCTATTGACATGGAAAACTTAGTTGAAATGTGAATGAACTATATGTGCCATAGTTCCTTAGCTTCTTGGTATGAAGATGATTGCAAAAGACAGTGAAGTGTTCAGCTTATGTACTTATGTTTTTGTTTGAGTTTTTTTTTCACCCCCCTTTTCCTTTCTTCAATAAGCTACTAACAGTGAATGGCTCAGGATGCATCCAGAATGTGGCTATAACCTTGTAAATTCTCCTCACCTGAAGCCAGCTTGGGTATTGGATAGAGCTCTGTGGCACTTGACCGGTATGGTGGCCGATGGGAAGTGTATTGCCAAAGGCGTCCCTCCCTTGATTGAGAGTGATCAACACCTGAATGTAAGTGAATGAGAACTAAGTATAAGCTAACCAGCTTTCAGTATTTCTAAGTTTATACACCAGTATAAAATGGTGTATACTTTGCAGATGTATTTAGTGAAGTAAGCCTTTATTCTCCAATTTTTTTCTAAGCAATTTGCATCAGTGCTTAGCTTTTTTAGAATATATGAAGCAACATTTATTAACCAACATAATTTTAATTTTTACAGTGTTTACGTAAAATAATTCATGAAGATATATATCCAAGAATTAGACTATGGGAGTTTTTCCAAGTGGATGTTAACAAAGCTGTGCAGCAATTTAAAACCCTTCTAACTCAAGGTAGAGTATGTTGCTGAAGCATGTGAGTTAAATATTTATAGTTCAAGAGGCAGTAAGATGGAAAACAAAATAATGCCATTTTTTGCTATGTGAGATATCTGCCATGCTGACTTAAGCATCATACAAGAATGCTTTGAGGACTAGGAAAGGTTTTTAATACTTTGTACCACTTCATTTTCTTTATCCACCCTTATCTTTGCTGATACTAGAATTGTAAAAGTTCTGTGCTCTTTGAATGTAATTCCTATTTTTATTTTGAGTACTCTTTTTTCTATCTTTTTCCTAGGCAAAATGAACACTAAATCTGATCCAAATCAACATCTTCAAATACTTCAAGACCCTGATTATAGGCGATTTGGCTGTACTGTAGATATGAATATAGCATTGGCAACATTCATACCACACAGGTATTGTATTACTGATTGCAAGTTAAAATCACAGGTGAAGTTAAATTTGTGAAGCCAAATCACATTATTTTCAGAGATGAGAAAAAATTTAATTTTTTATTCCTTTTAGTTATATATACTGCGTGTTGTTAAAATAATTTTTTCTAATTGTTTTCTTCTTTTATTGTCCTCCTGATAAGCAATGGACCAGCTGCAATAGAAGAATGTTGTAACTGGTTTCGCAAGAGGATTGAGGAACTAAACGCTGAGCAATACAGACAAACTACTCACCATCAAGAACAGGTGTTATAATTACTGTGTTTTCATGCTGAATTGTTTCAAATTGCAAACAAATGCAGGCATTTCAATAATGCATCATTTAATTACTTCTAGGCTGTCAATTGTCTTGTGGGGACTGTGGTTTATGAACGAATGGCTTGTGGTGGTCCTAAGCTGGGTCTTATCAGTAGAAAAAATCCCTTAGTTACCAGGTATATACATGTTTTTTTGTTTGTTTGGAAACTATTAGAATCTATCCAGGGAAAGCAAGTTCAAAGTTCGTTAAAAGTAAACTTTAGTATGTATAATAAGTGCATGTTTTCTTTTCCATGGACAAATGCCACTTAATGAATTGACAGGGTTTTTTAGGCAACAGTGGTTACTGTTTAATAAATAAATGTGATCAGAAAGCATGAGACAGTACTCAGAGCACATCAAAGCCTTACATAGTGCACATTGCTGTTGTAGGTGGAAGAGGAGTGGAACTAAGAAAGTTTATACCTTTCAAGTTTTATGTACTCAATGCCAGTCATTTATCTGAAGAGCTAGGGCTTTAATCTTATACTACCAACTGACACCAAGATAGTGCCAGCATCTGTCCTTTGTTCTTCAAAGCTTGGTACAAAATAGAAAACTCCCTATCGTTTATACAAGCTGCTTTTTTTTTTCTCTGTATTATGTACAACCCAGTTCCTAGAGTACTTTAATTTCAAAGGCAATGGATTGCAGCTTAGGTTACCATATGTTTTTGGTGTTTGTCTTTTTTTTCCCCTCTTAATTGTCTGTCTATTCCATAGGTATTTTACGTATCCATTTAAAGAGATGACTGTGGAGGAAGAAGAAAGTATGATACATCAGCCAGATAAAGCTTGTTATTTCATGGCTCATAATGGCTGGGTTATGGGAGATGATCCTCTTAGAAACTTCGCTGAACCAGGTTTGCAAAAGAACTTTGAATTTACTTACAAACCATTTGATATTCTAGCCAAAGCAAAAAGGATTTTATTTAGTCTATTTTTTTTCCAGATGTATTCCTATGAAGCTACAGAATAGCAGATATTAAGCTTATAGCACTTTAATTTCCCATTCAGCATACAGATCAGCTGTAAGAACTGGAATTTGAGGTACAATTTTACAAGATTTGAGAGGGAAATTACCAGCTTTTTGCCACTGAAATGGGGACGTCCTGCCTCCCCACTTTTGTCATTGTCTTTGTTGCTTACTTTGTACTTTGTTCCAACACCAGTGCTTGTTGGCATTTCCATGAGACAATGACAGTGTGGCAGAAAACTAATGCAATGAAAAGGTGAATAGTATTTTACTGCATTAGTGAGCAAAAACTGGATCCTTGAAAAGTCCACCGAGTGGTAGTCAGACAGTCAAGAGATGAACCAGTTAATGCAAATTAAATATGCAGATTACTTGTGATGGTAAAATAGGGTGTGAAATCACCATGCACTAAAACATTGAAATGTAACTCCTTTAGGGACAGTGTTGATATGCAATAAAAGCAAAAAAAGCTTGTGTTCAGGCTAGTCATTCACTTTCTAAACCAAATCAAACAAAGGCCAGTTTAATTATAATTAAAAACAATCTAAGAGTTTGGGACTCTTTTGGAAGCTAATCTGTTGATATTCCAGAGTGATCCAGAGTTAGCAAACATTTAATTTCTGCATAGTAATCTACAGCCCTTTCACTGCATTTTATTTACTTTTATTCTCCTTCTCAAGGATGAAAATAATGTGTTTCAAGGGTGGTTTTGTTCAGTTGCCATTCAGCTTATTGCCCTTTCTTCTAGGCAGACTGTTGCATTTTTTCCTTCAGTCACTGGCTTTAGTTAGTGTACTTAATTTGCATTACTGATTTCTCTCTTAATTCATCTACAGCTTTTTGAGTACTTTATACTTGTGTTACGCCTTTGTTTTGTGCCACACATTGTTTCAAATGAGAACACAGCATGAAAATATGGTACATAAGGGCAAAAATAAAGGAATTGCAAAACAAATGCAGCCGGTTCTCTAAATAGTCCTTTAAAAATCACAGTGTACATCCAAAGAAAGCCAATTTTTCTGTCCACATGGCTATGCTGCTGTTAGTGAAGACAAAGGTCAGCTGTGCTTAAGTGACTTTTTTTAGAAGTAGTGGTAATTTACAGTCCCTGCTTTTTACTTACCAGCTTTGGAAATTCATCACAGTCTGCTGTTAACAGAAGATAAAATTGTAAATCATGGCCGTCACAGTTTATGTTGGCACAGTGAGATGCTTTTTTTAATTTGGCCCGTATAAACAACCAAACTACTGATTTTGTTCATTTGTTTGCTGCTCTTTTCTTTTTTCAAAGTAGTTTTTATACTACTTTGAAGAATTAAAAGGAATTTGTTTTCAATCTGAAGAATTATTTCAGTATCACTATAGAAGCTAAACATTCCCTTGGAGGAGTCTGAAATTATACCATATATTATATCATTGTAGGGCATATAGATTTTGAGTTGATATGGTTATTGTTAGAATTATTATTGTTAGGTTGTTAGAATTTTTACTCTTCGTTACAGTGTTGTTCTACTCCTTAGCAGTAGAAAATAAAATACCGCATTTTGATTCTGCTGCACATTCTATAATATATTTACACCGAAGTGAATTTATTTCCCTTACAGGTTCGAATGTTTACTTGAGAAGAGAGCTCATTTGTTGGGGAGACAGTGTGAAACTGCGTTATGGTAATAAACCTGAAGACTGCCCATACCTCTGGGCACATATGAAAAAATACACTGAAATCACTGCCAAATATTTCCATGGTGTTCGTCTTGACAACTGTCACTCAACGCCTATTCATGTAGCTGAGGTACGGAAAATTGTGTTTATTATAAAGCAGCTTCTGCCTGTGAAATAGGTCCTGCACTGTTGCTCCAAAGTCTGCAGGATCTACATGGCAGAGTCCAGGTGTGAATGAATCTTCCTCATAGCATAGGTTTCTTTTCTGGTGATGTTTAAATGTGATTTCAGCTGCTTTAAACAAATAGTAGAGTGGTGTAGCTATTGTATCTTTTAATTCTCTACTTTAGCTGAAATACTGTGGATGTGGTTGGGCCTGGCTAACTTTTCCCTCACTTATCTATGGACTTAGTGCAATGACTTTCAGTATCCAGATTGTCAGTTTTAGATGGAGTCATTGCCAAGACTTGGTTGAAAGTCTGGGTTATTTTTTTTCCATATATATTTTTCTGTTGCTGAATTGAAGAGGAAGTGATTCACTTCCCAGAATTTAAAAGTTGGTTAAGAACATCTGCAAAAAGTTTAGTCTAGCAGGTGTATTTTTAAGACTAGTGCTTATTGTTTTCCATGAAGCTGACTACATCGAGAAATTGTGCCTAGTAAATTGGCTTTAAATAGGTTTTGAGTAGTGCAGCTTGTTAGTGCTTAGTCTTAGCTTTGTTACAGAGCTTATCTAAATCTATGAAGAGCTCTCTAAAACAAGTTGATTTCCCCGTACAAAAGTTGTAAGTGGCTCTTAAATGCAGCCATTTCAAAACTTCTGCCATTCTTTCATTTATTGTTACTATTTTTTGAATGGTAACTACGAAGGCTTAAACTGAAATCTTGCTCAGATTTCTTACTTCAAGAGACATCTCTTTTATCCAACCTTTGGGTTTGCATTTTGAGCTAAGATTTTGTTTAAAAAGAAGGTTTTAATTAGCTTAAGGTCTACAGAAAATTTCCTAGAATTACTCCGTCCATCAATAATATCTGTAAAATATAAACCTATTTTTATAAAACTTACATGTTAAGAGTATTTTTAATCTGCTGCATGTATGAATGACTCGTTTATTTTTGGTTAACATTCCTGTTAATGATTGTGTATACATAGCTGACAATGGATGTCTTGCATTAAAAATGTATTATGATCTATAGGAGATGCTAGCAACAGCCAGATCAGTCAGACCTAATCTTTATGTGATAGCTGAACTCTTCACGGGCAGTGAGTACATTGACAATGTTTTTGTCAACCGCCTGGGAATTACCAGCCTGATTAGAGGTACAATAAGCAGTTGAAAATTATGTAGGATTGTCGTGTATGGTTTGGAGTTTTAACTGTGAAACTAACATTGGTATGCTTTTTTATTTTTCTCACATATTCATGTTCTTTGCTTATGCGATTACCTTTTCTTCATGTTTTGTTTAACGTCTCCTGTGTTGTGTGCTCATTCTTGGGTTTGCTTATGTTTGTGTGTCCTTTTCTGTGTAACAACTTGTTTTGTTCCTTAATTTTGGCTTTCTGTTTATCTTTGCTGCATGGCATTTTCCTATTGTCCAATCCCTGCCTAGCTTTGAAACTTGTCCTTTTTTGTATCTACCTTTCCCCTTTCTGTGGCTTTTTTGGCTGTGCTTTTTGCAGTACATGCTGGACACAGCTAGAAAATTGCGAGCCGATTTGTATGTAGTGGCTGAACTGTTCACAGGAAATGAGGAGCTGGACAATATCTTTGTGAATAGGCTGGGCATTACCTCCTTAATAAGAGGTAGGCTTGCTGCGTGTGTGGTCTCTTTCCAACGAGAGATTATAGATGACGTGCTTTTTCCAAGAAAAAGTTTTCTACTGAATTATGTGCTTTTAATTTCATACTCCATGTAATTGGAAGTACAGGTTTTGTATTGTAACTCTTTTGATACTCAGCAGAAAATACAGTACTAGCTGTAAAATAAGAGAAGACTTCTTTCATTAGTTTACAGAAGGTTAAATATTTCACTCTTACTCTAGCGAGAGGAAAAAGAAGTTGTAGCACAGTTCTGCTGTGTAAGTGCTGCATCGTGTCTGATTTTTGTTGCATGAGTTTTTTTTAAAGCCTATGAGAAACAGTTTGATCTCTGCTTTTTTTGTCCTTTTTCCCCTTTCTCTTCCTTTAAATATATTATAGTCAGTAGAATACCCCGAGGCTGTGTGTCCGCACTGGAGAATATAGTTACATGTGATTTTTTGGGGGTTTTTTTAATGATTGAACACACCTAAATAACAACTTCTAAATGCTGCATTAACATTTTTGTGCATGCTGTTCTCTGTGGTAGCTATTCTTAGGCAAACACTTACATATTTTGTTCTTTAGAGGCAATGACTGCTTATAATAGCCATGAAGAGGGAAGGTTAGTTTATCGTTTTGGAGGTGAACCTGTCGGCTCTTTCGTTCAGCCGCGTTTGAGGCCTTTGATGCCAGCTATTGCTCACGCACTGTTCATGGATATTACACATGATAATGAATGTCCAATTCAGGTGAGCACCTAAGCCAAATAACTAAGTTTACATGTAATATTTTCTGAAGTGATATTTCTGAACCATGGGACGGCTTGATGCAATCTGGATATTTTTTCTGAATGATATTTACGGGAAAAGAAGTGTTTCAGATGTTCAAGTTTTCATGTAGTGAAGAAAATTTTTTAACAATTCCCTCTAACGTTCAAGATTTTGTCTTGCCGGGGGATAAGTATAAGAAGTTACTAAATAAACTGTTTTGAGTCTTTCATTCCAGTTTCTGTAAATGATTCTATCTCTGCTTGTTGATCTGCTCACCTAAGCTTCTGCTTACAGGAGGGAATGAGAGAGAGTGGTGGGCATTGAAGTGCTTATTTTGATGGTTTTTCTGAAGTTGGTTTTCTTAGTCCATTTGTAGTAATTTTCTTCAATAATTCTGTTGTGATTGAGGAAATAATGATCATGAGTTAGCACTTCCTCTGTTAAATATATCTTCTGTATGCTGAATTGAGAGGGTTGAATTATCTTTGTTTCACTGTTTATTACCTGTGTATCTTTTAATGCAGCACCGATCTGCCTATGATGCTCTTCCGAGTGCAATGATTGTTTCCATGGCTTGCTGTGCTACAGGAAGCACCAAAGGCTATGATGAACTAGTGCCACACCAGGTATGGGTCTACAGTTCAACTCCTAAGTTGCTTTTCAAAATATAACCTTTTTCTTGTCCTATAACTCGTATTTGAATGTTGTTTATTTGAAATTTTAAGCAGTTTACTAGATGGCATTACTTCATGTTGTCTAATTGCATATGAAATTTGAATTTATTATATATTTCAGACCTCAAGGCATGATAGTTTGAGGGTTTTTCCTCAGAATAATTCATATTTGCTTAAATCTTAATTTCTTTACAGATCTCTGTAGTATCTGAAGAGAGGTTTTATTCAAAATGGAATCCAGCAGCACATCTGACTTCTGGTGAAGTTAATTTCCAAACAGGAATTCTGGCAGGAAGGCTGGCTATAAACAGGCTGCATCAGGAGCTGGGGGCTAAAGGCTTTAATCAGGCAAGAAGTGAGGGTGACACTGTGATTGCTTCATGTATATGCTCTGAGTGAGCACAGTTGTAATGGGATGTCTTTTCCAGGTGTATGTAGATCAGGTTGATGAAGATATAGTCGCAGTGACAAGACACTGCCCTACCACACACCAGTCTGTCGTGGCTGTGTGTCGAACGGCCTTCAGGGATCCTAAAACTTGCTTCTATAGTAAAGAAGTACCTGAAATGTGTATCCCAGGTAATCAGTTTTCTTTTCAAGAGATGGCAGGCGTACAAAAAATTCAGGTTATTCTAATTCCATGCTTTTTCACTTCAAGCACATGCATAGGAAATCCATATGAGAATTTTAAGTGTATAACACTGCTTTTATCTGTCCTAATATGTATGCACCAAAGTGGAGAAAGAAACTGCAAATTTGCCTTCCTTAGGGTTTTTAAAAACATTCATATTTGAGTATACTTCCTGCTGCAAGCTCCTCATGAGGTTGTGTTATTGTTTATAGTCTTGTTTGTGAACTAGTAATAGTTAACAGCAAGATGGTTAATTGTACAGACTTAGGGGGATTACTATTTATTAAGTGTGTTATACTGGGGAAAAAGGCTAAAATCTTACTGTATTTGTTGATATCAACTATTCTGTAGTTTTAAAATACATCATAAATAACTCTGTAGTGCATAAATTAATATAAAGATAATATATGTGCAGTACATACATAATATTAATTAAATATGCAGAGTATCGACTGTACTTAATAGTAGCAAAATATAATGACTTCTACACATTACCTTGATGTATTTCTGAAGAGAAGCTTTCCAAACTGGCTTTTTAAGTATACTCAATTCTTTGAGTGCATGTGTGTGTGCCTGTTTTAAAATCAGTTGCGTTATATGTTAAGGCATTTACAAGATTTGTATACCTTAGAGAAAATTAGAATAATTGCATATTAATAATAAATTGCTACCCTTTAAAGATAAACCATCTGTAGCTGCAGTTTGGAAAGCAAACTAGCACAGTCTCTAAAGGATAATAGGGAAACTAAGAAAACTGGTGACCAGTAAAAAACAGGTTGTAATTCACTAATTGTTGTCTGATATTATGGTTCATTTATTATAAAATAACAAAAATCACCATTTTAAATACAATACAGCATATGAGCATGTAGTGAATGTTTATAAGATATTTAAGACACTTCCGCATATGTTTCTGTTCTTTTGCTGTGTGACACAGACCTGTATCTTGAATATTTAGGTTTTTAGTTTTAGGTTTTGCTTCATAATTTCAAAAGAATCACTTTTCATTTGAAGTATCTTAAGACCTGCAACATGATTTAACTTTTTTTAGGAAAAATAGAAGAAGTAGTACTTGAGGCTAGGACTATTGAGAGAAGTGCTAGTCCTTACAAAAGAGATCTACATTTTATAAATGGATTGCCTAATTTCGCAATGGAACTCAGAGAGCATATCCAGGTAATTAGCCTCCTTCACTCATGTTCTGATGTAATATTTTGTCATTTGTTACATTAGAAAAAGACACTGAATTCCAGTTGCAAATTTGTTTTCTTTTCTAAGATTAAAGACAGTAAAATCATAAAGCAAGCTGGAACTGCCATAAAAGGGCCAAATGAATTTGTTCAAGAAATAGAATTTGAAAAATTAACACCGGGAAGTATAATAGTATTCAGGTACGTTATTGTCATTGCCAAACGACTGTGTTACTGAAAATAACTATTCTCAAATCTCCTATCACTCTATTTTAAGTGCTATATTTCTACAAGATGTGCTTTCATATTTACAGAGTCAGTCTTGACCCAAAGGCACAGGAGGCTGTTGGTATACTCCGCAACCATTTGATCCAGTTCAGCGCTCATTTTAAATCTGGAAGTCTTCCTGACGATCATTTAGCACCGATTTTAAAAACCCCATTTTCTTCGTGAGTATTCTTTGAGTTTCTGAAGTAGAACCGAGAGAGATACAATGGCAACAAAGAATATTATGTAAACTTAAAGTGAGGAGTTGTTGGATTTTTTTGTGGTTGTTGGTACAGATGCATTTCGATGGTCAGAGTGCAATAAGAACTCTGAGATATTCTTCTTGTATGTATAATACTAGGTAGGGTTAATAAGACAAACTTCCCAGTTCTGTGTAATCGCTGCCTAAAGTAAACTTTCTAATATGGACTGCTTCTCACTGTTGGGGTGGGTGTGATTGTTTGAGTTTTATACTTAATAGTGTGTTTCTAAGTAAATACTGAAACATCTGAGAACATCTCTGAACATCTGAAAAATCAAGCTCTTAATTTCCAAGATTAAGTGTTGTGAGAGTTGTATATATTTTAGTATTTTAATGTAGATCTGAAATTAGAATTGTTTGTGAAATCCTTTCCCCGTTTCCTTACTTTCTTTTGAGTTTCATACTTTTTTTTTCTCCACTGTTTTTTCAGTATTGCATCTAAACTGACTTTGGCCGACCTAAATCAAGTGCTGTATAGATGTGAGGCAGAAGAACAAGAAGATGGTGGAGGGTGTTACAATATACCAAACTGGTCACCGCTGAAGTATGCAGGCCTCCAAGGTAAGAGCTTCAGCATTTCAATAAAAAAAGTGAATTAGAGCTGCTCAATCTAGATCATACCATAATGAGTGGCTGTTCTATTGTCACTGACATTATTTGAATAAAAAACAGTAAGTTTTTTTCTACTTGAACATGCTACTAATCGGTGTACCCAAGAAATCTCACACTGTAACAAACCCCCTCTCTCTCAATACTCTGAAACTTAACTTTGCAGCCCAATATATGTTTTAACACCAAAGCCTTGGCTTTTAAAGTAAAAAGAGAACAAATATACCTCCAGTGAAAAGTTGCATTAATCAAACCCCAGGCATTACTGGATTGCTGAGGACTGTCATTTATCAAACGTATGAATTCCATCATGCTAGTTATTCCACCATGATTTACATAACTTTCTAGGATGTGTGCTGAGGAAACGACAGTTGAGTGGCCTAACTCCTTATGCAGATCAAAAGAAGTAATATTCAAATGCAGTTAAAGCATCTGTTGCTGTGTACCTTTCCCCCCTGAATTGTAACAGCTGTTTGTGATAGGGGTGTGTCTTTTAATACACAGTTGGGTTTGTATCTTCAGGGTTAATGTCAGTGATGGCAGACATTAGACCAAAGAATGATTTGGGTCATCCATTTTGTGATAATTTAAGATCTGGAGACTGGATGATTGATTATGTCAGTAATCGTCTGATTTCACGTGGTGGAGCCTGTGCAGAGGTCAGTAAAAATACTTATTTGGTGACTTTGGGGTTTTAAATTGCCACTTTGTTTCATTTTCAACTACTGTTATATTTTTAAATTCAGACTGTGTATAACATGTTTCTTGTATAAGCAATTTCTTCTAGGTGACTGAACCATTAATATGTTTTTCTTCCCTCCCCCCAATCCTATTTAAGAATAGATAAATACAAAAGGGAGGTGAAAAATATGTAGAGGGATTGTTAGCTCTTGCATAAGGGCTGGCGGGTGTCACTTCCTGTTTATTAATTTTCCCAAAATAAAAATGAAGTTAGTTTTTGGGGTTTGTTTTTTGTTGGTTTTTTTTTTTTTTTTTAAGAAAGTACTTTCAAAAGAGTGCTTAAGTACTACTAAGGCACACATGAATATTATACAGTTATAGTGTTATATTTTGACAGGTACAGTCTTCATCTGCAAGGTTTAAATCTTTAGCCACTTCCTAGTAGGTTGTCATGATGTTATTTAACAGGTCTAGAAGGAAAGAGAAATACTTTTCAGATGTCAAACATTTTGCAATGACACAAGGATATGAATGTCCGGAATCCTGAGTCCTAGACCCAGATCTGCAGTCATATTCACTAGTGGCTGTACATAATTTAGCCTTCTGATAACTTTTTTATTCCTGATCTCAAGCTTCGTCTTTTCAGTCCTATCTTTTTAAACAATGAGAAACCTCCTTCCAATGCTTGCATTATAGTGCTGCCTTTTGAGTTGTGGTTTCCTTCGCTACTCAGTTTTCATAACAACTTCGTGATAGTTCTTTTTTTCCCATAAGACTAGCAAAATATAGTCACTTTCTATACTTAATGTTTTGGCCCATTTATATGTGATATTACAAATGAAATTTTTCCTTACTACTTTTCTTAGAGTTCATCTCTCTTAGCTGAAATTTTGGAGCAGGAGGATGCAGCATAACTTGGGTGTAATACGTGTACAAAAACTGTGACAAATACTGTAACCGTATGGATCATGAAAGTACTCGGTTTTGAGCGCTGATCTTATCAAGTTCTAATTATATTGTATTTTTAATAGGTTGGTAAATGGTTGAAGGCCATGTTTGTGTACCTAAAGAGAATTCCCCGTTACCTCATCCCGTGTTACTTTGATGCCATATTAGTGGGTGCATACACAACACTTCTGGATGTGGGATGGCATCAGATGTCTAGGTATGCTTGGCATATCAGAACTATAGAGGTATCTGTATGTATTTGCATCTTCAAGTTTTGTCTGCTAGAGAATGTAATTTGAATGTTTTCATACTCTTCCAATGTAAAAGGGTAAAATGGGTAGTGAAAATCAAATCCGTCTTCTAACAGTGGTGGTTTGGAAGTCTAAGAGTTCAGATTCCTATCCAGGGTTTGAATTTATAATTCCTGTTGACATTGTACAGTAGTAGGAGGAAACCTTAAACCAGCATTTCTTTACTAGGCTTTGGAAGGGTTTTTTGCCATAATTTTAGTACCACTGCAATGATTCCTTAAAGTTCAGGTAGGTAAGAAAATATCAGATTGTATTTTATACTCATGCTTTGTTCAACATTTCTTCTCTGATACAGCTACATATTCTTCATTATCTGAGCACTTTGCTTACTTCATAAAATAACTGTTTAATCTGCAGTGTCTGCTGCTCCGTTTCTTGCAAAGGGAAGGGAGATTGATTTAATAGAGGCTTTTTCCTAGCTATAAACATGCTGAACAAGTCAGTGTTGTTTTGTGAAAATACAGATATTAAAATGGGAATAGAATTCGGTATGGCTGTAAAATCATGGACCATAGTATATTTTCTGAAAATGCTTGAAGATTAACTAGTCAGGAATGCAGATTGCATTATTTTAGACAATGTGTTGTCAAATTTTTTGATTTACAGTTTGTGTGTATATATGAATATACATAAAAATATGATTTCAAAAAAGACTGACTAGGTTTCACAGATTTTTGTTCATAGTAAAATATTTTTATCGTATTTTTGAAGTCTTAGATCTGTGTATAGGCATCACCTAAACCAAAACAACTTTTTTTTTAACCCTTTTTTCTGGAATATTTGTCATAAAAATTCCTGTTAAAATTAATAAATGTTAAGACTAACATTGGGCACACATTCTGGGGAAGTGAGTGATCTACAAATTAAATTTTATGTAAAAATTATTTAATGCAAAATACTAGCATTAATTCATTTTAATACTAGTATTTATTCATCTTTAGGTTTTATATTATGCATAATACTTAACATAGCCTTCTGTAAAAGAAAATATAGACTGATATTGTCAAATGTAAAATTAATTTAATTATGTTGCATTACAGCTTTGTGCAAAATGGATCAACGTTTGTTAAACACCTTTCCTTGGGTTCAATCCAGTTGTGTGGAATAGGAAAATATTCTTGTCTGCCAAATCTGTCTCCTTCCTTACATGATGTTCCCTATAGGCTCAATGAGATTACAAATGAGAAGGAACAGTGTTGCGTTTCCTTGGCAGCTGGTAAGTGAGAACAACCTTTAAAAAAAAAGTCTTCTAAAATAGTTAAACTGGTTTTAATAATTATATTAAAATTTTCTGCATTGTGTTTGGGATCCATATGTCAGCAACCATGTATGAAATATAGGTAGCAATTTCACTCACTTTTGCCCTGTGTGTAAGGTAAAGATTTGCCCTATTAAAAGTATGGGAGTTTTGTCTAGCAGTGCTTCTTGGGGACAACCATTTTGTTACTGTTCATGGGAGTTGGGAGGGAGATCTTTATTTGTAAGCACTTTATTAAAAGACATTTTTAGCTGTCTTTGTTACCATATTCAGAGACCCACAAGTATGTTTTTCTTTACAGCAGACTCGCTTGAGTTGAATATACTTATCATAATGGGTTTTAGTTTGTTTTCTAAACATGAATTTAAGAACTTAATTGTACTGGAGTAATAAGAGTGAATTTATTGTTTACAAGTTCTCAGAAAAAGAACCATTAGCAAACCAGAACTCCTGATCTGAAACTGTCTCCCAAAGGAAAGAGAATAAAAGCAGTCAGCAAATAGTGTTTTTACCTCCAAATGTTCTGCCAGCATCTGGCAATCTTCCTATGGGCACTTTTCTATGTCCCAAGTATTATCTTCTGTGGTTTAGAATGAATTTATTTCTGTTCTGAGTTGGCCCATTCCTTTTCTGAAACCATAGAAACTTTTAAACATCCACAGATGCAGTGGCATCTCACTCACTGGAGTGTTTTTCTTCTTTTTTTGCCGTCTGTCTTTCGTGTAGTTTTACTGCTTTTAGTTCTGGATTTTAGTAACATTCCATTTGCCTGCTTTAGTGTTACCTAGAAGCACAGAGGCACAGTGTTCCCTTAAACTGGTCATTAAGATTAATTATACTAAAGGGTTTGGTTTTAAATATTCCCTTCACATATTCACTGGGAGTTGTGCCTGAGATTTTTGATTTGTATATGGATTGTCATTCTCAAGTGCTGCTGCCATGTACTATAAAATTGCAGAGATGTGGAGGCCATATTTAAGTATTAGCAAATACTGTATTTAAGTAAGTGATAGAAGTTAAAATATTGTTCTATCAAGCATGCACAAGAGACTGCTAGTTTGAAACTTTCTGTTTGAGAGATCAGAAAAGTTAATAAATGGAAAAAAAGACAAATATGGACCTTACTGTTGTAATTATTATGCCTTGTTATTTAGAAACATTCTTGAAGCTATATGTTATTATGTCTGCAGTAAAAAGTAGTTCTATAAGCTGCTGGAAAAGAAAAACAGGATGTCTTTCATGGTAGCTGAGAACAGTCGTATCCCCTTTATGCTACTGAGATGGCACAGCTCTCATAAATAAACTCTTGCCAATAAAGTGTTGTAATCTTGCCGTAATTCTGACTTTTTGTTAGTTTTCTTTCTGTTTCTTTTAATTAAGGGATGGCACTTGGGTAAGTTACCAAGTGATTTAATACAAATTTAAATGTTACTGATACGAGAAATGCTGTTGTGTGATCTTGAAATTCTAGAAGATATTGTTCTAGAATAAGGTGTATTTCATTCTGTCAAAAACTTGGTCTAGAAGACTGTTTACTTTAAATATCTTAATCTAGGAAAAAATTATAAATGAGAATATATTTTCTGTTTCTGGTTACTTTATACATACTTACATGCTTGGGGGTTTCTACTGTATCAATGAATTAGATGAAAAATGACATTTCTTTTCAGGTTTACCTCACTTTTCTTCTGGAATTTTTCGTTCTTGGGGAAGGGACACTTTTATTGCACTAAGAGGTCTGATGTTAGTTACCGGGCGCTATCTCGAAGCAAGGTAAGACTGACTTAGCCTTAGTACTTATTGGCTCTGTAGGTAGTTAGGAAAAAGCAGTGCTCTCAAAACCTGAGATGACACTCAAGCTTTTAGAAACAGCTGATGTGCAGTATGAAACTTTAATGGCACTAGATGTATTTGGGAGCTCTCTCTAAGTGGAATTAAAAATAGCACTAAAATGATTCTCTTTTGCTTTCTTAGTGCCGATACAAAGCTGATGTTCTGTATAGATTAAGGTAGTTTTAACCTCTGTAACACTACTGTTTGTCCTTAAAGTGATTGTTTCACATTTATTTGCATCACTGTTGCTGAGAAATATTTTCTGAATTTCTTATGTAAAAATTCAAAGTAGCAAGAGAATATTATTTTTATAAGAAATGTGTGATTGCAGGCATAATTTTTTGTAACTGCTACTATTTGGCTGTTAATACTAGAAATCAGCTAATTGTGGTTTGTTACAATCAGGTATCTGTAAATGTTTAACCTGATAAGTAAGCCGTACATAAGCCAGATAGATTTGATATTTTGATTAATTTTAATTTGGGTGGAGCTTGACACTGATAGAAACATAAAAATTAGTTGTTTTAAATTAGCATGTATTTATGCTGTTGAGCATTTGGCCACCTATTAGCTTTCTCATGCAGTGAGATCTGCAGTCTAGTAGTATGTTTACCTTTTTAAAGCTAGTTGGAATCCATGTTTTCTGCAAGGTGTGCGCAACGGTTCTCAAATGAAACTTCTCATAACCTCAGCTGCTGTCACCTCTCTGTATTTTAATAGGAAATTCCCATCTACTCCTGCCCTCCGTCCCCATTCCACCCCACCCATCAGAATGGATACCAGGGTAATCATAAACAATATCAATAAAAACCTTCCCTGTGACCTCAGTGGGATTTGAATTTAGGGTCTATATCACTACCTGTAAAAAAACAAACTATCTCTTCCATATTAATAGATTTTGTATGTTTTGTACCAACTGATTTAAATGTATTCATGTTGAGGAATTTGTAGGGATTGGGTGACTTCTTATTGCAAACGAAGTTCATGCTAAATGGAGTAATTTGTAGCTTTCAACACCAAACTTTTGGCATCTGTCTTTAAAATCCTCTTTGTCTTCTTGACCTACCTTGCTATTAAGGTAATCCTGTATGCTTTGTGCTTAATATTTGTCTGGTAATGGTCCTGAAAGCAACTTAGTCAAGACTGTGGTTTTCTTTTGTTCTAGAAACATCATTTTAGCATTTGGTGGGACTTTAAGACATGGTCTCATTCCCAATCTGCTCGGCGGGGGCACACATGCCAGATACAACTGTCGAGATGCTGTGTGGTGGTGGCTTCAATGTATCCAGGACTACTGTAAAATTGTTCCAAATGGATTAGACATTCTCAGGTGTCCCGTTGCTAGGATGTACCCGAGAGATGACTCTTCTCCTCAACCTGCAGGCACTGTGGTAAAGATGATTTCTAAGTATTTAATACAACTATAATATTTTAATGATGTTATTTTTTTCTAGCTACAAGAATCTGTTGCTATCTGTTGTTTATGGTGAAGTTTGATTATAGCACAAGAATTCTGCATTTTAGACAGTTCTTGCTACATCTGCATCACTGATTAGACAAGTGTAGGGGGTTGGGAAAGGAGAAAAAAATTCTGTCAACTTCTAAATCGTTTTGTTGATTTTAGTCTTGGAAAAATATTTATGTGAAAAACTGTACACAGCATATTGCCATTGTTAAGGATGCTACTGGAAAATGTTTGGTGTTTTTCTTTTGAAAGATCATAAACTAGAGGCTTAAGCATTGCTACTATTTGCACATTAGATAGAACCTTTCTACTTGTTTTTCATCTTGCCTTTCACTTCTCATCCAAACATGCAACAAATGTAGGATCAGCCACTTTACGAAGTAATACAGGAAGCAATGCAACGACATATGGAAGGCATAAATTTCCGAGAGAGGAATGCTGGTCCACAGATTGATCAGAACATGAGAGATGAAGGTAACATACGTGGAACATCTACTGTACAATTCAGAAGTTGATGATCATATTTTATATTTTGTTTCCTGTAGCTACTGAGCATATTTTTTAAAAATTATGTTTACTGTAACTAAAACTATATTACTTTAAATTTACTTAATATTTTAAAAGTGCCTAATTAATTGTTTATTATTGGCAACTGTTTATATGTTATGATACGAGATATCTTTAAAATTTCACTTAAAGTGCACTTGGTCTCAGGAACCTACCTCAGATCTCTTGTTTGGAGGTTTTATTGTTTATTAAGGAGGTTTGGGTTGGCAAGGTCAGTTGGCATTTTGTTTTGTCCAAAAACCAAACTTCACACCTGATATTCTTGCTCGGCAGGTTTTAATGTAACTGCAGGTGTTGACCACGAAACTGGCTTTGTGTTTGGAGGGAACCGCTTCAATTGTGGCACTTGGATGGATAAAATGGGAGAGAGTGAAAAAGCACGCAACAAAGGAATTCCAGCTACTCCAAGGTATGAAATCAAGGCACTGGGGATGGGATTTTTAAATCATGTTTTTAATTGAAATTCTTCTGCAGAACTGCTACTGTGTCTTCTATTAATACATCCAAGAGGTGATATCTCAAATGTTCTAAACGTTTCTGCCTACTAAAATGTTAAAGGAATTTTTTTTCTTTGTGCTGATTTGAAGTAAAAAGGTCTGTTCTTGGCAGGTGAAGCCCTCAGTTTCTGTCAAGGTCTTAGCACCATGCTGAGAGTTGAATTTTGAATTCCATGAAGTAAAGTGTAATTTAGGAAAAACTGTATACTTGTAATACTAGCAGTGCTTTGTTATTTAGACTTACTGTAGGAGATACATATTGATAATTGTGTTGTTTGAATAATTCTTTGAATTCAAAAATATCTTCAACATCTACACTTTTAGAGTTGAGATTTTAGCACTTTAAAAATAAGCTCTATTATGTGCTAGCAAGCTGTTGCAGGCATCCTTGCTTGAATTTAATACAGTTACAGAAGTGCATGTGCAGATGAGAAGCTCTGTATTAAATGCAGTTTTGAGATCAGAGGACAAAGCTGTTTGGGGTTGATCCTTTTTTCATGTTCTTAATTGCTCGTATATAATTATCTTCAATCTATGCTAATTAGCTAGGTATGATAATATGACTTTAAATAAGACTGTTTTACGGAAAAAGGATCTATTAACCAGTTTACAATCAAGTTTGTTCCCCGACTGAGAAATAGGGGAACAGTAGGAAAATAAGGAAAAAGGAAGTGTCTAAATAAGATACTTAAAATCTGAATTTTTTTCAGCTACTCATTGAACTTTAATAGCCTTCTTAAAGTAATTATTTGGCTTCTTTATCACTACTATTTTAGAGATGGCTCTGCTGTGGAAATTGTTGGACTGTGCAAGTCAGCTGTCCGCTGGTTGCTGGATTTATCCGGGAAAAACATATTTCCATTCCGTGGAGTCACTGTAAAAAGACATGGTAAAAACAGGCGCATTTCATAATTGTATTACTGGGGTATAAAAATAACTAAAACAATGAAGCTGTGACAGTGTAACCTTAGGGATTATTATCAAGCTACCCAGAAAGTTTAGGGGCAAATGGGGAAAAACTTTATCATTCATTACAAGAATGCAAAGTAAAATGATGCAGGATGCATGTCTTTATTTTCTCTTTCTGTTTTTTCCCCCCACTATTCAGAACACAGAAAACCCCTTCCTGGGAATATTTACATAAATATCATTGGAAGTCCCCTATGTTCTAGAAAGAATACTCTTCTAATTACAAAATTACTTTAAGCATACCCAGCCCAAGTGAATATGTGCCCTGTAAAGACTCTGTTGTGCTAGTCTCCCTAGAAGTTTCAGTGAGCTGTTCCTATGAAATGTAGAATTGGCCTAAATGTGGGGAATCACCAGCTGAAGAGAGGTGATCCTAGGACTACTCCTGTTAGGTGTCAGGAATTTGGGAAGCATACTTCTGGTGTTGCCACTGTAACTGTTTTCAGAAAATGAAACCTGTATATAACATCTTGCAGGAAAGGAGGAGATTATCACATACGATGAGTGGAACAGAAAAATTCAAGGACACTTCGAAAGGCTGTTCTTTGTCTCTGAGAATCCAGCAGATCCCAATGAAAAACGTCCAGATCTCGTTCACAAACGTGGAATTTATAAAGACAGCTATGGAGCTTCAAGTCCATGGTGCGATTACCAACTCAGGCCAAATTTTACAGTAGCGATGGTTGTGGTAAGTGAGGGGGAAGGGGAGGAGGACTTTGCACTTAAAATTGTCTTTATTATTAAACTAAGCTTGCATTGTAAGGTCCATCTGCATGACGCTATATCAGGAATATACATTGCTTTTTTTTCCCCATACTTTTAATATTGATTCATCTTGGACTATCTCCTAAAAATACAGCATGACAGGACTTGCCAATTTGCCGCGTTCGCTGTATTCAGAATGTCTTTTTAGATTGGGTCTGGGAGGCCACTTTTCTCATCAAATTGGCTAAAAAGCATGGTCTGCTTTTGGATTTTTGAAGAGCTTCAGTAATAATACTTGAAAAGTGTATTTAAAGTAAAATTAAAATTGAAAAAAGCACTGGATAGCTTTTGTCTTCATGCTTACTGAATCAAGTTATGGAACCTACAAGTCAGAGTAATGTAAAACTCAGGCTTTTTGTTGCCTTCTGAATTTACATACGCAGTCTTATGTATATGCACAGAGATTATTCCTGAAATCTTTATTATTTTATTAGGCCCCAGAGTTGTTCACACCTGAGAAAGCTTGGAAAGCTCTGCAGACAGCAGAGGAAAAACTACTCGGTCCATTAGGCATGAAAACCTTAGACCCAGAGTAAGTACACTAGAGATAAGTGTTAATTACAAAACAGGACAGTAGGAATTACTTCTTGGGGGGGTGGGGGGGGGAAGGTAGTGTGTAAAATCCTCATACCTGTGAAATAAGGCTGCAGGAAGTACTTCCAGAACAATCATTTTTCTCTTCTAAAAGTTCACACAATTGATTTTTTTGTTTGTTTGTTTTGGATGCCACGCAGTAAGCAAGTCAAATTTGCTATCATAAAAGATGTTGAATTTGCATCTTGGGACATATTTATATATGATAGAGTGTACAGCACTACAATTTGAGTAAAAGCATAAGGACAAAATTAGGAATTTAAGTCCTTCAAAGACATTAACTGTTTTCCTACTAGTTTAAACAATATTTAGAATTCCATTATTATGTAAAATACAGAACCTTGTGGAAACCTCTTAACCGTCATTAAATGTAAATGCCATGACAAATTTTTTGGTTAATTTCTGTTTTCCTGTTCTGTGTATCATTTTTGTTAAGGCTTTGTTTGCATAATGCATTTTTTCTTTCTTGCAGTGATATGGTGTACTGTGGAGTATATGATAATGCTCTTGACAACGACAACTACAATTTAGCCAAAGGTTTTAATTATCACCAAGGACCTGTAAGAGCCAGTTCCTTCAATTTTAGAAAAAGTGTTGTCAACTTTTCAAACAGACTGCTTTAATAATAATCTCTTTTCATGCCTTGTTTAGGAATGGCTGTGGCCAATTGGATATTTTCTTCGTGCCAAATTGTACTTCTCTAAGTTGATTGGTCCAGAGATATATGCGAAAACTGTCGTTATGATTAAGAATGTTCTTTCTCGCCACTATGTTCATCTTGAAAGGTAAGATACCTATTCCTTCTAGCTAGTGTATCTACCTATCCAATTCCATGTAAAAGTAAAAATCTACAATATAAACAGATATTGCAGATCACAAGTCAGGTTTCAAATACAGGTGAGATCTAGTGCCTTTTATAGAGTGCAGAATTACCAATACCCATGTAAAGACTGGATGAAATAAATCTTATGTAAAAATTAGGATCTAATTTCAGAAAAAAATGTTGGTGAGGTTTTTTATTTAAATCAAAATATTTCAAAGGAACCTTTAAAACATATTGGTTAAAGGAGTAGTAGTGACAGATAAAAATTGCAGAAGATGATGCAAAATATTGTTAGGATTTCTTGTGTTATAAGTGAGGAAACTAAGATTCTGAAACTGTCATAATATCTTGCTATTCTAAGAAGACAGAGGAACTTGCTTTTTGAGTTCTCCCTCAGACCAAACCACAAAATCCAAACAGTTTTCCCCCTTTTGCTGTTATAGTTTTAGTTCTTAAGGATTTCAGACAAATTAAAACAAACAAAACATCTTGCCCTTGGTATCCCTTCCATATAATCTGTTCTACAGCACATCAAACATGCATTTATTTGTACCCAAAAGAGCAATTCAGTAGGACTGATCATGATAGAAAAGTTTGTCATGAGGGAAAAAAACAGTATTTTGCCTTAGGTTTTGTCTTTTCCAAGTCTCTTATTTGGTAATATCACATACAACTTGCAGTTTGGTAACGCTCTTTGTTTTTTCTGTCTTATTAAAGTAGTGTACTTTCACTCTGTTATGATATTTCATAGTGTACAAAATAATTAATAAAGCAACAGGCTCTACTTATGAGTTTTTCTGTAAGTATGCTAGTTTGTGGGGTTCTTTATTCCTAGGGAGGCAGAAAAGGCTTGTGTAGTCATACTACCTGCCAGATGTTGTCATGTTTTAGTACCATAATTAATTTCAAGTGTAGTAAGTTCAGTTATTATTAGTAGCAGAGTCTGATTTGAAGATGACACCTCCACTGCAATTCCCAGCTGCAGGGGAAAAAATATTTAGATATTAATTATTAAAGGACACACTGTGCCTGTAGGAGAGCAGACCTTTAGTCTGCTTTTCAGTTTCCTACTGACTTAATCTTTTAAAAGGTTTTAAATTGTTCTTTTGATTTCAATCTATAATCTAACAACAATACTCACTTGTTTTTTCTTTTATTAGATCATCCTGGAAAGGGCTTCCAGAACTAACTAATGAAAATGGACAGTATTGTCCTTTTAGCTGTGAAACTCAGGCCTGGTCGATTGGTGTTATCCTTGAAATCCTTTATGACTTGTAAAAGTTTATTTTGATTGATTTGATGAAAGTTCTGTGGTCTTATTATTGGGCATAAATGAAAACTTGGCTTACACTGCAAGGGAAATCAACTGTTCTGCACAATCACTTAAGCTGTGTCCTGACTTTCAAAGATGCTGAATGCCAGCAGCTCCTGTGTCCTATAACTGTGTGGGGCTTGGATTTTTTGAAAATCAGACCATGACAATAAAACTGCAGTGCACACTTGATGCAGAAACTTTTAGTAAGGAGCAATTTTGAGAATATGCACAAACTAATTTTAACTAGCTTTGGTTTTTTAGCCTTTTCAAATCAAAATCTTAATGTAACAAAGTAGCTCTTTCCTGAGCTAAAAATAAGTAGCACAGCTCTTATGTTTTTTTTTCTTTGTCTCTTAAAGAGTAAATGGATGTTTTGCAAATGCATGCTTAAAGGGGAGTAGAATAACTTCTAGCTTTCTGAGTTTGGTATGCTTTGTGCTCTAGCACCATACATTAATGAAGGCATAATATGTTGTCTCTCCATTGAACTGTAAGATGGGGATTTTTTGTGTGTGTGTTCAATTGAGCACTTCACTAAGCAACCACAGAAATAAAGTGTATGAATACTGTAATAAACCAACCTCTGAAGTTATATATAAAATTTTGAGGACTTTACTTTGAGAGTTAATTCAAGCAATAATAAGATAATGTTCTATGTTAATCCATCTTTAGATTTATTTAAATACTGTGGGCCATGTAGCAAACCTATTTCTTCATTTAAAACTGTTTTTCACCATGAGTAATTCATAAGAAATGTGCCTACAATGAACAGCCTATGTGCTAGGGGAAGCCAAAGATAAGTCAATGTGCTTCACTGCTTTATTAAATGAATTTATTGAAGAGATGGTCACCTCAGCCCTTCGTTCTTGAGAAAGTCCTAGTTCTGTTGAAGCAGGTGGAAACACTTAATATCAATGGAAAGAGATATTGGCCTACCATCAGAAAGGAGAATATGAGGTTTCTGGGCCTTTTGAAATTACACCAATAACAATAAGCATGCTACCTCTATGTGGTGTCCTTTGGGAATATATCCAGTGACCATGAAGCAAAACACGTTTTTTCGTATTTGAATGCCTACATGCCTTATTAAATTCAGTTCAGTATTCCCAGACTGAAGGGTGGTTAACAGAAGCTGCAGTTGGTCATTCTCAACTCTATTCATACAATTTTTCCATCTTAATGCAATGAACAGGCAGAGAGTGAGGTTGAAAACACTCCCCACATCACAGACAGGAAAGCAAAAGCACTATTGCATTTCTTAATGTTAAACAACAAATGCTGAAAAAAAATAAATACAGGCTGTAATTATAATGCACTAAACATGTAGATCAAGATTTTATCATATCTGTATTTTAATGTTTCTGTATCTTGTATAAAGTACAGTGCCCACATGCCGTCTTGTTCGGAGAGATGTATTACACAGGGATACATGTGAGGGCAAGTTAGCAGGCTGAGGAGAGATGAATTGTAAGAAGTGGCTATATTCACACTATTTATTTGAAAGATTAGTAAGCGTTTGAACTCCCTTGCTGAAGTGTTCAGTCCTTAGAAGTTATGAATAGGAAAGGTCTATATTATACCTGAACTTCAGAGCTGCTGCCGTACAAGGGTTGGGAAATTTTTATTTTCTCAACACAATGCATAAGAAATGTCATTTGATCAAAAATGTTACTGAAATGTCAACTACAGATTATTTTTTTAATGTGCAAGAGGCATATAAAGTATTTTTCATACTGTACTGAACTTTCCAAAATACTTGATAGTGATATTAAGGTTTGTGTCCTGCTGTATCACTACCTTTTTACTGTTCTCCTAGGTATTTATTTCCTGTTTATTGTTTCAAGGTATGTTTTATAGCTCCTTTGACTTAGAAAGCAGGAACAAGATGGCAGAAAAAACTGTTCTTACTTCATGAAAACGTTCTAAAATTGTAAGTGCAGCTTAAGAGCTTTGACTGTTGAAAAAGATTTCCACCAGGTATCAAAATTAGATACATTGGCAATAACACTCTTTAAGTGTTTGGAAAAAAAAACATGAGAAATTTTTCATCAAAACCTTCCTATGTTATGTACAGATTACTTTCCACTTTTTTTCAAACTGCACTGCTGATAGAGACTGCATATTTGTCACTGCTAGGGATTTTTTTCTAATTTAGTAGTATAATTTTAAAGATAAATCACCGCTGTGTACACAAAAAGACATGTTACGGAACTTCTAAACGTGCCCATTTATAATGTTGCTTCTGCACTGATTAGTTGAACATAGTTTTAGTGACAAATATTTTAAATAGGGAAAAAATATGTATTGGTTGACTTTGCTGTTAAGTAGCAACAAAAGTAAGATTTAAGGTTATTAACTTTAGAGGGAGGTGGTTTATTGGTTTGGGTTTTTCTTTTTTTTTTTTTCCTCAAAAAGCTACTCAACACTTTGTCAAGCCAGACAGTTTAAAAATGAAGAGGGAAGAAAACAATGTTAAATCTAACACAAAACATGAGCTGATATGCATCTATATTGTCATTATCCCCTAAAAATAGCTGACTTATGTTGACTGATCCTGAGATGTATTTTCATTTATTATTATCATTTATATTTTGCACTCAAAAACTTCTAGTAATGCAAAGATATAATTGGTAAAATATCTTTTAGAAGTAAACTAAAGAACTTGGTAAGAACTGTGCATCCATTGTGTTCCAGTTAGTGCTTCTTGATCTGTATCGTCATGTGTTTTTTTCCCTCCCAATTGAAATAATTTTAACTGTTACCAATGTTCACACAGTTTATAGCTCTTGATTTATTCAAGGATGATTAACTTGAGAATTCAAGTAAACTAATGTATCATTCTCACACTGCATGTTGTAATGTAAAATGGAAACATGTTTTACATGTATGTCTATCACAGCAACAACTGATTTTAGAAAATGTCATTATTCATTTCTGAAATGCACAAAATAAAATTCTTTAATTCAGAGTTAACCTTTTCATGTGGTTGTTTGAAAAAATAAGTGAAACTTTAGAGCTGATGTTACTTGTTAACTTGTAGCAATTTTGCATTTTAGACAGGAGAGATCATTAACTCCTCAGGTCAAATATTAATAACAAGAAATTTGTCAACTCATTAAAAAACTGCATAAACTTGAGCCCTATACTCAGATTCTTGGGTTGGTGTCAATGTAAGTTGTCTCAGCTGGGTTTTAGGAGGATTTGGGCTAGAAGAGGTCTGTGTGTATCTTCTCCTGTAAGTGATTATATAATTTTAAGTCATTGTATTGCAGATTATCCAAGAGGACAGTCCTCATTAACTGAATTACAGCTGCTGAAGTGATACACAGCGATTAACTTTCCATGCAAAATTCCTATCACTACAGAGAAGGCATTTTCAGTTTTCAACTCTGCTTCATAAAAGCAGAATCTCACATCATGAATGAGTGGTATACTGAACGTGTTTTGCAACTGCCCTATTTCATTGCCTTCTTTATAAAAATAGGATTTTTCTAATCCTCTATTCAAGCATTTTCTTTAAGAAAGTAGTTTATTATTCTATTGCATACTACTTTTAGTAGATATGCTACTGAAAAGTGGTTAAGGAGATGGACAAAATGACCAGTTGCTGAGTTGCCTGGGGGAGTTGGTAAGGTCAGAGCTGCCAGCTCAGCCCTCATGGCACCTCCAGCAGCTCAGTGGAGGAATAGATGGATGAAGTGTTAGTGCTGACTGGCACGTTTCTCCTGGAAGCTCCTATGGAAATTGCAGATGGCAATCGGGGAAGCGCCTGCACTCGGGAAACTTGAGCTCTCCCCGCGCTGCCATGTGAGGTAGGACCCCGAGAGAGACCACCCGTTTCATCACTTGAGGAAGGGTTTCCCCCTCGCAGGTGGCTGGGGCGAGGGATAAGCAGGCTGGTCTGCAGGTCCCCGTGGGACCACCCAGCGCATCGCCTCAGCAGCAGGATGGGCGGGCTGCCAGGGCAGGGCAGAAGCAGGACAGCCGGGACAGCACCCGTGGACTCCTAGCAGGACAACCGGGACAGCGCCCGTGGGCTCCGAGCAGGACAACCGGGACAGCGCCCGTGGGCTCCGAGTGGGCTGCCTGCCCGGCGGGACGGGCCGTGCAGCGCTGCCGTCAGCCCAGGGCTCCTCAGGGGGAGAGTGTCACACATGGCAGGGAGCCCTCACCGCTCGGGGAAACGGGAAACCTGCTCCATTGACAGAAAACATTTTTGTCTTTTTAAAGTAGAATTAACATGCAAACTTGGCAGCTGTCGTGGTGGTACAAAAGTGAACCTGAGAGCAATATAGGAAGAAGACTGTTCCTAATGGCTAGTCAGGTGGCACTCGAAGCCATCCATGCTTTGCAGTCTCTTGTGTTTCTGTAGGCACTTGTGCAGTCCTGTTGGCCCATTATGTGTTTGTCTCATTGTATAATACCTCCTTGAATCTGTTTCTTGCAGAAATCCTAATCTTTTTGTGGTGTGTTTGTGCTATCTACAACCTTTCAGTCACAGGTGGCTGTTCACCCTGTGTAATGATCTCATAGTACATAAATGGAGTACCACTGACTATTTGACAAACAGTAAAATTGTTAACCTCATTTCGTGTAAGCTTATGTAATTTGTGAGATCCAGAAGCACTTCCCTTCCCTCTGTGCATGTGTGTGACAGCAGTATCTCAGTACAACTTCAGACAGACACTATTTTATGTATAGTGCCTTTTTTCAATGAGAATGAAAGTTGACCATGCAAGAAGAGAGTTATGCTGCAGCCTGACAAGGGTCCTAAGCTGGAAACCTCGGCTCTAGGTACTAATGGAGGTAAGTTTCTCATATTAAATTTTATAACATACGTGGGGTTCTGTTTCTAAGTCTGACTTTGGCAAATAAACTGCAGCTTAACTTTGTGTAGTTATGAGAAACATAAGATACTGTCTTCTGATCAGTTCTAAAGGACGAAAGATATTTGCAGTAACACAAGTCACAGACTTGTAAGTACAATTATTTAATTAATATTAATTTAATTATTAAGTATGATAAATTAGAGGGGGATTAAGTGATAATAGTTGACGTCTGTTTTTTAAAGGTGATTTTTAGAGTCACAATGACATATAAAAATTTAGAAAAGCTAAAAGGAAGATTTATTTCTTGCAAGTGACCTCTCAAGGGAAAAGTGTTTACAAAATGAACAATCTGTTCTTTTGTGGGTATGTTCAAAAGCTGTTTTTTGAATGTCTTTGTAATTGTTCTTATGGCCATTGTCTGTAAGGGTCCTACATACAGCATAGATCTAAAGAGTGGTACCTGTTTAATAATACGCAATGAGAAATGTGTTCCAAATGCAGGAATAAGGCTCACAACTGCTTGTGTAACACCAGGAAGAGCAGCAAACTAATGAAGTAATACTGTCTTAGCAAGGGCAGTCGTTGGAGGGCTATAGTAGGGTAAGTATTGTCGAGATGTGTGTGGTATTATGCATAAGGAGAGTTGGGGGTAGGATTTTGAAATGAGCATATAAATTTTGTGGATGTGAATGATTGGTTTAAGTATCAGGGATGAAGTGTTAGAAGGGATCTTACTGGAACGTGGGATAATCCAGAGATGAGCATGGTGGGC